TTTTTTTTTCTTTTCATTTTTGATGGTACTAGGGATTGAACCTAGGGTTGTGCTACCATTAAGCTACCTCCTCATCCTTTTTATTTTTTTATTTCGAGACAGGGTCTTGCTAAATTGCTCGAGCTGGATTCAAACTTGTGATCCTCCTATTTCAGCCTCCTGACTTACTAGGATTACAGATGTGCATTACTGTGCCTGGCTCAAAATAAAAAATTTTAAGAGGGTTGGTTATATGGCTTAATGAGGTAGAAAGGTGGGAGAAGAATCCAATGGGGTGGGCGAAGTGAGACCAAGAGGAGCATTATGTATTATGTATTATGTCTTATACAAGGGTTCAAGTGCTGAATGTGGCAGCACCTGACTGTAATCTCAGTGACTTGGAAGGTTGAAGCAGGATGATCTCAAGTTCAAGGCCAGCCTGAGCAATTTAGCAAGATCCTATCTCAAAATTTTAAAAGATAAAATGAAGATTGCTGCAAATGTAATTCAGTGGTAAAAGCACCCCTGCATTCAATCCTCAGAGAAAGAAAGAAAAGAAAGGCTTCAAGCATCTTCTGGTATAAAATGTGTGTGTGGGGGGGTTTTCCTGATGCTTTGATATTATGTGACCTTGCAGACCTGGGAGGGACTGCCTTTCCAAGGGTTAGCTAACTCCTAGAGATAGAAAATGACCTGCCTTTGAGCATTCCTTTGATAAGCAAACCAACAATCCTGAGTCCACCCCACGGTTTATCAGGCTCCCACAGCCCTGGACACCATCTTCCTGCCTTCAATCGCCCCATGGCCAGGTATCTGACAAATAAAGACCACCTCTTATAGCCCAGAGTCCACTGAAATTATTCAAACTAGCCTATTTTAAGTCCTCATCTTGTCTTGTCCATTCTTTCCAGAGAAGATTGCAGTAAAGGCTATTACCCATGTTTTTTCTGCTCCTTTTGCCTCCTGTCTGTCCTTGGCATTTACCCTTGTGGCCCTGTGTGGCATGCCATGCTTCCTTCTCACTGGGAACTGTGAGTTACAAACTCTTTTCAATGGGAAATATATCCTGATCTGTTGGCTTTACCATACCTAGATGAAATCCAAATCCTGGGTACATTTTAAAACAATTCTATTTTCTGCACTGACAAAATCCCTCAGGCAGGGAAATTCGAAGAATCTGGGTCCTTGAACACTAGTTTCCAACTCCTCCCAAACACTCACTGTCTTCCAGGATTCTGGACACGGGAACAGGAGCCCTTAGAACTTCCTTCCCTTTGCAAACCCCTATTTTAGCTAAGCTAGGGATTCCTTCCTCTCACATGCTTCTATTAAGGGATTTTGTCTTCATAATTGGTTTCTTTTCAGGAATCTGACAGACAAGGTCCTCCCTCAGGGTATTGGTCCAGTCCATGTGGCCAGGAATACCAGCAGGAGTCTGGGTAAGTGGCTTTGGGGCTTGCAGATAGGACAGCTCTCATTCCATGCCTGTGGTGTTAGCTTCATCTATACCCACTGATTGACTGTCCTAATTACAGTTCTGTCCCCTGCACTACCATGTTACCCTGGGATCTCTACTCCAAAGCCCTCTGGCTTCTACCACCAAGATGTGTGGCACTCCCTGGCCTGCTCCAACCGACCCTTCCCCACTGTCAGCAGCATCCTGGGCTGTCTGGCTGGCCACATCATCCACATGATGGGGGACTCCACGCTTCGGCAGTGGTGGGAATATCTGCGTGACACAGTGCCCTGTGAGTAGGGGAGTGGTGAGAGACACCTGAGAGAATAAGAGGAGGTCCAGGGCTGCCAGAGGCAGACATCCATCATCAACAGGGCCCAAAGGCCTAGATTTCAGGAGA